TTTATGCGTTTTTTGCAGCTATGCAATGCAGAAAAAGCATATTGACGAGGGGTTGTCTGTGTGTGTCTGTGTGTCATCTCAAGACCTACAAAAGCTACAGGGCTGAAATACTGGGAACTTAATCTACATGTACGTACGAGCTCCATTCCCCAGAACGGGCGCCATTACCCGCGTGTTACCCACATACGAGCCCCCCAAAGTTTTTTACGGGTAAGTTCATAACTCGGGAGTCAGAAATGCTTGGAAGCTGAAATTTCATGGGGATGTTTGCAGTCCAAGTAGGTATTAATGCGCCCAAACCCAGCCCCCGGGTAAGCGAGGTACCCGCGTACGAGCCCGCCAAAATTTTTTTCGGGAATCTGAGAAGCTAAAAGACTGGAATTTTGAAAGGGATGTTTTCTGACAGTCCTGGGGGCTAGTCTGAAATTCTTTTAGCTAGAAGCATCTGCCAGAAAAACCAGTGCCGTTAGCCAAAAATTTGCTGGGAGCTATGCAAAAAACGCATCTTCTCACCGGCAGTCCGTGCGTTGGCTAATTATCTAATTTTTGTTGTTTATTAACTGTGTGTAAGGGGTTCATAATGTGTCACGAAAAAATAAACCGCACTGAGATGCATCAGTTTTGTTACTGTTTATTATTATTCATTGAAACTCACAGTGAATTGAAAAAAAATGTCTAAAATTGGTTTACCGCATAATTAGAAGCCCAAAATCATGCAAATTTAGGGAATTGTAACCTGTTGGTTTTTTTTTTTTTGAAAAAAGGCCATTTTTTTGCAGTATGTGAATCAGACATTCCCGAGAGAAGATACATCAGCAAATTTCCTCCCTCATATCAGCGAAAGAGAGCTACCCGATGGTTAGTTTTTTTTATTTTTTATGCTGTAAATGATTGTTTTTTTCCCCCGGATACACAACAATTCTGGCATTTTCTAGCGTTAAAATGAGTTGTTTTCATTTTTAAGAGATCGGCGAAGATCCGTCAACGCAGCCGATGGTCAAACCGATGTTCATGGAGCGAAGTCGCAGTGAAATGAAACGTAAACTTTAACTTTTTTCAAACATATTTTTCGAAACTGCTAAAATCCTGCTAGTTGGTCCTACCGGGAGAGCCGTTGAGCCGGAAATTGCTTCAGAAAAAGAAACGAACGTTAGGATAGCCAGCAGACTGACCATCGGGCGATGCAGCGTCGATGGTTCAGCTTCAAAACTATGAAAGCTAGGAAACTGAAATTTTGCGAGCATTGTGTCCAATTATGCATGAATTCAGAAATTTATGCATAATTGAAGACTGTGCTGTTGAACAGTTGTAGTTGATTTTAGTGGATTTTTGCGTGCGCCAAAACCCTAATTTACACCATCAGTCCTGAACATTATGTGTAGAACAGAGGCAGAATGAGGGGAAAGATCTATGCAGAACTGTCATCATATGTCGAAAGTTGGTGAGGTTTTGTTCTTTTTATATGTATTTCTGAATATTGCGACTCGCTTTTCGCATTGCTGATTATCAAAATTACAAAATTATCGTCGTGTTTCCATGCTGCGAACTCACACGACTTAGCTCTTCAGGTTCCCGAGATAATAATTTTTTCGCCATAAAATTTTGCGGGGTCGTGTATGATACCTAAATACACAGGAAGGCTGAATTTAAATTTGCAGACTTATACGTAGACAAGATGTGTTGCCCCAAAATTTCAGTTTACTAGCTTCCGCGGTTCTCGAAATAATAATTTTCCCCGCCAAGTCTTTCGCGAGGCCGTACGTGGTATCCAGGGCACAAGTGAAGCTTAATTTAAATCTGGTGGGTCGCACATTGGCGGGGATCATTCTCTTAAAATTTCATTTTCTAGCTGTTGTGGTTTCCAAGTTGAAAGTGTGGGACAAAACGCATTTGGATACACACACACACGCACGCACACGCACACACACACACACACTCACACACATACATAACTGGGGCGTGGCAGCATGAGTTTTGTATCGCTGTTATATAGCGCAAAAAGCGTAAATACGAATCCGCAGTTCTGTTGCTGTTCAGCGAGTTCTGGAGGTGAGAGAAAATGAGGGAGAAGGTGGGGTAGAGAAGTTCCTGGAAACCCCCTCTTTTCCCTCTGACAAAAATTTTGAATTTTTAATTTTCAGCGCAAAATGTCTTTGTTGATGCCGGTTTATCGCCCTTTGCTTTTATTTTTTTAAAATATTTCAGTAAAGGATAATCGACGTTCGTTCTACGTATTGGATACGCAAAGTTTAACGACCATAATTTTGCCGTTGAAAAAATCGAACAGCTGCTCGACGATATTTCTTGACGATTCAACAATCTCACAGCCAAATTTGAAGAATACAATCAAATGCATTTCGTTAGCTGTTTATTACCATATTGCGAATCGTAAGAATCGTGGTCACGAACGTCTCATGGAAATATTCGAAGAGCGATTACATCCAATCACGGTATATTCACATAGTTATCCTTTTACCTTTCAAAATTAAAAATCGGAAAAGTGTACTTGTTGATTGCTCTTTGCCAATAACGACCGCCCGCTGGTAAGACTTTCAGTGATTTGTTTCTTCGAAAACTGGTGGCGACTTTGACCTCTGGTACCAACCAATTTGCCATCGGAACATATGCGGATCCCGGAGGGAGTAGTGTGATGGGCGAAATCCCCCCCCC